GTCATGTCCCACAAAAGCATTATCAGGTACGAAAACTAGTAGAGACCACGCCTAACGGTCTAGTCTTCATCCCAAAGTAGGGAGAAGGCAAGACTTGCAACAACCAAAGAAGGCGGTCATCGCAGCAATGTGGGAAATAAACCCCGAGTACGAGAAGGTACTCAACTAGACTTACCGGACAAAAAATCGAAATAAAAAAACGACACCAAGGATCATGCAAGGCTTTTCAGGTGGGCTAGCTTGACACAGTTGCATAAAAGAGCTTATGATTATAGTAACCAATTTAAACTGATTATCAAGCTTATCATTAATTACCTGTCCACTAGATTAGCACTTGTACTAGAGCACTCACTTATTAGGAGCAAACAATATTAACCATAGCAGGTATAATAAGGCTATCATCATCATATCATCATTTCCGAACCATTAAGATATTAAGTGTATCTACATTGGAGATAAGCCCGTCAAGTTCTCACTAACCGGGAGAGACGGCGATTGAATCAATTACAACTCAGGTGAGGGGTATTCCTAACTCTCACCCTGGCATACTTTGCAAGGGTAGCCGTGGGTCACCTTTGGAACATCTCAGAACCAAATTCGGCGGGTTCGATCAGCACAAGACTCTCGGGGATTACCCCTTCGCCAGGACGATCGGGACTTTTAAATCACCCGCCTCGGACTCACGCCTCGGCTCCCTTCCGAGGCGCACTTTATACTTATCGACTCCCGGCCCGAGGTGAGCTACTCGGCCGTGGTCGGTCTCCGCACCCGCCAACTAAGAGAGAGGCATGCGTTCAACATGAGCAGGAAAGGCTCCAAGAATCGGTCCTTAAGCGACACGAGACGGAGTCATCGCAAATCGGCAAGCCTCGTCCGGTCTTCATTTCAAATTAAGACTGGTTCTTTTCCACGATAGCAAATATAGCCAACCGTGCCACCTGTATCATCCTATATCTCGTAGGTGACAGGAAATCACCCGACTTCTACCGCATTTAAGCAGGGCTAAGCACTACTCGAGCCTGAGCTACATAGGATTCAGGGTAACAATATCTGGACAAGGAATGGGTAACCAATGCAGCAAGTGTTTGCATCCAACACCTAAACTTAATGCAACAATATATATATGTAACAATAATACTGTAACTGCATTTCGGAAATTAGGAGGCTTAATATGCTCCAGGGCTTGCCTTTCACAAAGTTGCAAGGACGGTGGTCAGGGCACTCAACGGCGACCTCGTCTGGCACTTCTCCGGAAGGCTGCTCCTCCTGAATCTCCGGCGTCGGCTGCTGCTGCTCGTTCGGTTCCTCGAATTCCAACAGGGTTACTCCTTCCGGTACACCTATTGCATGCCGATGCACAAGATAAATATCATGGATGCATAAGGAATGACATGATGCTCATGATGAATGAATCACAATGGGTGTTTATGAAAACATCACTGGACACTCGACACCGAAAGTAATTAGCTCTATGCAAATCACTTTAAGCATGCATCCAACTTAACTTAAATAACAAGAGCAACTTACCTAACTTGCATAACCTAAGATAAAGATGCTCATCTTCAGTTAAAGGCCTAACACCTAGGAACAGTACCATGAACTTAGAATAGTAAAGACATCCTTAAAATAACAGTTAAAGCTTCATATGCAACAAGTAGTAACTTAATTCTATCATAACCAGAGTTTTATAAATCCAAATGACTTGCAAGACGACATTCTGGAAAGCTTATGAAATTCTCTACAATTCATTTGTAAACATCAAGGCATGATTCTGAAGTTAACCAAATCAATTTCCAATAGACCTAGAATCTGTCCAGAATGACGGGGTTGCTAACTTAATTATTTAATGATGGTGCAAAAGCCTAATTTGACCAAACCAAGTTTACCAACTTGTTTTTCATATCTTAGAAACATCAGAAAGTATAGTGCTAACTTCTAAATAAATTATTTAATATCCTTTTTCAATTTATTTAGTTAATTAGGTGATTTAAGCAATATATAGTAAAACTATTCATAAAAATCTACAAAAATTATAGTAGCTATCTCATGCTGCACATAGACTACCATAAAAATTTCAAAGCCATTGGACCAACATAACTTGTTGTATCCAAAATAACAGATGACATGTCTATTTCTAGCATAATTAGGAAACCTTATTAAAAAGTGTCAAGCAACAGATTTTCCATTTTTCCTAGCATCCTTCTAGCATAAGAATATCACCCATAAAATTTCACCTTCACTGGATCTATAGAAAAATTATGAAAATTCACACAAGATCCACCTATTAATAAAAGGAAATTCTATAACTTAAAAACTATACATGTACTAGCTCTAAAATTTTTACCAGAGCTTCACATCAGCAATAACAGACTGCCCACAAAATTTCATAATTTTTGGACCACAGAAACTCAAGATAAAATTCAAACAAGTTTGCATGCTTCTAAAAATACATTTCAAACTCCTATTTAATTCATCAAATTTTTCTAAAACATGTGCTCATATAATATTTTTTTTAAATACTAGACATGACCAGGAACCTAACAAAATTAGAACCATAGCATTAGGATCTATATACAAGGAAATACGTATTTTTGAATAACAACCCAAATCTGTGAAATAATAAAGCAAAACAAAATAAGAAAACAACTTTCAGCCGCGGTTGGGCCAGCCCAAGGCGGCGGCCATTTAGCAATCTAGTGATCGCGGCCCAAGACGACAACAGCGGCCCAGTGTGCTCTCCCAGCGAAAGCGTCCAATGGTGACGACAGGCGGACCAGCGTGTCAGCCGAGAAGCGAGGAGAAGCGGCGGCGGTGGCTTCTCCGTGAAGAAACGTGTGTCTACGTGCTCGTCTCATCCTAGCGGACCTAGGGGAACCCTTACTCGCAGCGATTAACGCAACTAAGAGAGGTGGCGATGGCCACGGGCGGCGCTTTCGATCCATCGCTGCACGGCCGGCTCCGGTGAGGCCATGGCGTCTCGGCCCTAATGGCCGGCTCCACGAGTTTCAGTAGGGACCACAGAAACCAGCGCAAGGGGGAGAAAGAGAGGGAAAGGGCTTGAGCAGCACGGCCACGCGCGTGCTCGGCGGCGGCGGTCATGGCGACCGGTGGAGCCGCCACGCGGTGAGCTCTACTGGCGAAAAAGCGGCGATGGTGAGGTCTCTGATGTGGAGGAACACACGTCGGTGCTTTGGCTCGGAGCAATCGGACCAAGGCGCGCGGTGGGGCTGGATTTTTTTTGGCTCGGCGGCTTTGGCGTTCAAGCAGAGCGACGGCGAAGCGAGGGGGCGAAGAAATGAAAATGGCGCGGCGAGTGCGCTTTCGGCAAAGCGCGGGCGGCTTCAAAGCGGCGCTGCGTCGCCGCCAGACGTCCACGACGCGTGGCCTACGTGACGAAGGCCAGCGACGGGTGGAGGACACGCGGCGTCAAGCCTGCGCCCGGTCGGCCATATGACGGTCATCGAATCGTTTTTTGAAGAACGCGATTCATCGCCCATTGCCCGGATCGACGAGCATGTTTGACGACGATTAACTCCAAACCCGTGACGATCTAGACTACGCCATAGTTAACAAAGTTGATCATCTATATGTGAACTACAACTCTGTCCGTTGGAGCTCGAGCTGGTTTGGCTTGGTTAAGAGATACACGGCTCCAAACATTGGTACCAAGCTGTAATTCACTTTAGGACTTAGAAAAATTTCTTTGAGTATGAATCAGCATGTACTTCTGACTTGTGGGCCATGTTTGACCATGTTCTAGACCTTTTCATGAGTTGACCATAAAACAACTTTTGTTCCTTCATAAATTAGCTACAACTTTTGTAAAGAGTGCACAGCCATGCAAAGCTTCTAAGTTGGACTTTTGAATCAGTCAAACGATGACACTCAAGGGTCAATTCAAGTCAAAATCGCACTTGAGGGCATTTTGGTCATTTTGATCTACATGAACAATGTTCCAATAAGTAAACTAAGTATAGTTAAGGTGTATTAGACCATGATCAACCATTTTACAAAGTTGTTATACCTCTTCTACTGATCACATGTGATAAAGAAAGTAAAACAAGCAATTCATACATATGTTTCAATACAATGTTCCACATGTTGCGTGACCTTGTTGTTATACTATACTTGTCACACTACTACCCTGTTGCCATGCTTCAAGACATGGGAAATTCATGTTTCATTGTTATGTTGCACTACTACCATTCACAAACAATCTAGTACGAAACAAACAGAATATGCGAATGTTTCATATGTATGTTTCAGGGAAAATGACATGATGAGATAAATGATGCACATGTTTATGAGACGAATTGCAATAAGCAGAAGCCAAACACCGAGGGTGTTACAGCAGCCACGCAACCGAGATGGGAGCCGTAGCAGCAAGCAGGCGCAAGCGAGGGGGTGGACATGGAGTCCGGCAAGCAGGGGAGGAAGAAAAGCACATGGTGAGCATGTGATGCGGGAAGAGAGGTTGACGTGTAGGCTCTGCATGCTGAGGATATCAACCCACTCTTTATTCTTCTCGAACTAAACAGAAAATGAGGAACAACCTCAACCCAGTAACCAAAGAACAAATAAAACTAACCTAACCTAAAAAATTAAGATATAATAATCAATCCAACCCACGTGCTCTCTAAACCAAACACACACAGAGTTTTGTTTGAGGGATCTGGTTTGTCTGGGAAAAAAAAGAAGGTAATGCAAAGCGCTCCTAGAAGGTGACGGCGAATGTTTGTGTACCCACGTGGTGCACGTACCCTCCCTGCAAAGGTCTTTAAAAAAGGAGGCAAGGCAGCCTTTGCCGCTTTCCACGCTCTCTCGTCCCGACGTCAAAATCTGATCGGAACCATTTTCGCTGTGGAAATAGGCAGATCCCCTGAAAACGCAGTGGTGTCGCCTCTGCCATCGAAGCCCCAGAATTGAGTGTGACAGTGAAACAGCCAAAGATAAGCGAAGGCTGAGAAAGGAGGTGAGAGGCCGGGAAGAAGGCGGCTGCTATGCCGGAAGAACCGAGAGCCGCAGGTATGAAGAGGAAGAGCAAGAGGAAGAGGAAGAGGAAGGAGAGGGAGTGCCAGGCGGAGGAACTTATTTTCAGCAAGGTGCTGTCGCCGGTGGACGTGGGGAAGCTGGACCAGTTGGTGATCCCGAAACAACACGCGGAGAAGCTCTTCGAACTGGACGCGGCGGCGGCCAACGACAAGGACGGGGAGGACCCCGAGTACATCTTCGAGGACCGCTCTGGCAAGCCATGGCGCTTCCGTTGCTCCTACTGGAACCTTATGAGGTACATCTTGACCAAGGAATGGGGCGACTTCGTCAAGGAGAAGTGCCTCGATGCGGGGGACACTGTCTCCTTCTACCGTAGTGCCGGTGCCGGCAAGGCCGCCAGAGCAGGACAGGGCCACCTCTTAATCGACTACACGCGCAAAGGCGACTGCAAGAAGGACCTCCATCTCCGTCTCCATCCAGATCCAGATCCAGCCCCCAGGATACCGAAGCAGCCCGTGGAATCCGATAGCTTCAGCATATCGATCCTGCAGTTACCTAAGCATCCCGTGCAACAATCCGATAGCTTTCTGCAACCATTTCCTACGGCGCCGCCGCGGCCGCCGTCGCAGCTTCCTCTAGCAACTCCCACGGCCAGGATAGAGCTGACTGATCCCTACTCGCCTTTCCATCTCCAAAGCTCCATCAGGCGGCTCTTTCAGCAGCTTGTCCATGTCAGGGGCACCAACACCTCGTCATGCTCATGCCCCCCCAATGCGCAAGCACCGCTGTCTGATGCTTGGTATCAAACCTTAAAATATTTGACATCCAATGCCCAAGAATGCCTCCAGTATGTCTACTACAAGATGGTCCTCACCATACATGGGAATGGAGAAAGCCACAAGAAGGAATGGTCTAAGGTGTCAGCGAGTTCATCCAAAATGACATCTACAACTACAATCCCCTCCCAGTTTCATTGTGGGGAGGAACTAAGGATCTTGTCAACCATTGAGACACTAGAGGGTTCCATACATCATATTCGTGAAATATGTGGTGCCAATCTTAACAACTGCCGAATAATGGTATCTCTTAGCCCTTCAATCATGTATTGCATCCTCTTGTGTCGTGGTATTTTAGGCATTATGAGCATATCTGGTGCCGAGGATACCAATGAGAAACAGGAACTTCCAGTGTTTGCTTTTGATGATCTGTCTTGTCATGACAAGGTAACTAGGGTGAAAGCACAGAGAATACCAGCAGGTGTGGCTGAACCTATATACTTGCTGCTAACAGCTATAAGACATCTTCTGTATTTGGATCTCTCAGGTTGCAATGGGCTTACACAACTGCCAGCTTCCCTTGGCAACCTTCATAATCTCGCTGCACTCAACCTCTCTTGCTGTTCTTCTCTTCACATATTACCACCATCAGTAGGAAGCCTGCAGAACTTGCAGATTCTTGTTCTTTCATGCTGCCAGAAGCTAAAGAATCTCCCAGAATCAATTTGTGAGTCTTCCAAGCTCAGATTGTTGGATTTGTCTGGCTGCTCCAGTCTTGAAACTTTGCCTGATTCTTTTGTCAACCTTGGTCATTTAGAGATTCTAAACCTATCAGAATGCAAAAGACTGAAACAGCTTCCACAACCATTTGGTAGCCTTCAGGGACTGAAGTCCATGAATTTATCAGGCTGTCATGGAGTGGACTTGGATGTTGAATGTGTATCTAAGCTTGCAAATTTGAAGTACCTAACGCTGTCAACCCATATAAGTACCCAATGTTTTTCTTATTCCTTTCCACATCTTGGGAACTGGCTGGACATGTCAAGATGGTGGAGGAAGAACCAGATCCATCTTCACTGCTACCCGAAGGTTATAATACCTTTAATCATACGACTAGTTCTAGTTAACGATCAATTGAAGGACACTGATTTTTAATATATCAATCTGACAATCTATTTTTCCACACAGGCTGCTGTTCTGCATCTGTATACGTCTCACAAGCAAAGTATCATTAACAAGTTACTGTGTCATGGTTCAGATAATGATGATGCTACTGCTGACCAGATAGTCACTTCTATTTGCATAGTTGGTGAAAGTGGCATGGGCAAATCTGAGCTGGTCCATCAAATTTACAATGATCAAATGATTTTGGAAGCTTTTGATTTGAGAATATGGGTATACATGTGTGATAAAAAGAGGCTATTAGGGAAAATAGTAGAGTTTACAACTTGTTCCCATTACAGTGATGCCCCAATCACCGTTCTCGAAGAAATTGTAATAGAGGAACTTACTGGAAAGAGGCTGTTACTTGTACTGGATGATTCGGATGTCAAGAGCCAATATTTCTGGAATGATTTATGGATACTACTAAATGTTTGTGCTAAAGGAAGTGCTCTCATTGTAACCACTAAGAGCAAGGAAGTCGCTAACCTGGTCGGAGCAATGCAAACCTATCACTTGAGTTCTCTATCCAAAGAAGAATGCTTTTGTTATGTGGCCAGGGATGGAGATGAGAGGGCGTGCTACAGTACCGTGAAGCTACAGTGTCCGCGGGTACTGTTCACGGCGGCGGCGGCTAGGGCTGCAAGGGCGCTGGGGGAGGCCGGCCGCGGGGCTTCGCCCACGGCCGGCAAGAGAGAAGGGATTTCCTTCTAATCTCTTGCTTGATTAGATTGATACATCTCCTCTCATTATATTGAGAGGTCTGACTTGGCCCCTAAGCAAGCGACTAATTAACTCTAATGGGCTAAGGCCCAATAGGCCCTTGACTCCTCTAACAGCTTTATGATTTTCAAGGGACATGTACTCAGTGGTTTAGATGTGAATTTTAACGCTGAGTTAGAATCTGTTGCCTGGAAGATTGTTGAGAAATGTGGTGGTAATGCACTGTGTGTAAAAGCACTAAGTGGGTTGTTTTGTCATTCTGAGATTGGCTTTTCTGAAATTGATATGCTTGTTGGTGGTATCTTGCCAGCATTAAGACTTTGTTACAATCTTTTGCCAGCACACCTGCAGCAGTGCTTCAAATTTTGTTCTCTATTCCCCAGAGATTATATTTTTATCAGGAATCACATCATCCGATTATGGATAGCTCAAGGTTTTGTCTTCCCTGAAGAAAGTAGTCAGCCAGAAGATATTGGCCTTCATTATTTTGATGAGTTGTTCTGCAGATCATTTTTTCAGCGTTCTCCCTTTCATAATGACCAAGAAGATAAGTTTGTTATGCATGAGCTGTTTCATGATCTAGCACTGTCTTTTTCAAAGGATGAATGCTTTAGGTGTGAGAAACCCTTCTGCAGCTTACCTGAAAACATTTCCCACCTATCCCTTGTCCTTTCAGATTTTAAGACTGTTGCACCTTCTATGGAAGTTAGAAATCTGCAGTCATTTTTGGTTGTCAGGAGATCTTTCCCAGTTGTGAAATTTTTTGGTTTGGATGACCTTTGTTTAAAAAGTAGATTCTTAAGGTCATTGGATTTGATATATACAGACATTCTAGAGCTTCCAAGTTCTATTAGGAACATGAAACACTTGCGGCTCTTGGCTCTCAACAACACAAAGATCAATGGCCTTCCTTTTGAGATAGGACAGGTAACCACTCTGCAAACATTGGAACTCAAGGATTGTTGCCATCTCATTAACTTACCAAGAAGTACAAGTAGTTTAACAAACCTGCGACACCTTGATGTGCGAAATGAACAAGGCAATGTACAAGTTGGCATGCCTCATGGTATTGGACAGCTGACTGATCTCCAAACGTTGGCAGTATTTTACGTTGGGAATAATTTATTGCATTGTTCAATTGGGGAGTTGAAGAATCTTAATGGACTAAGAGGACATGTTCATATTACAGGGCTTGAGAATATTGAGAAAGCTAATGATGCCAGAGAAGCAAATATAGCCAACAAGCACTTCCTACAAGCTCTGACGTTGGAATGGTCTTACAGTGATGAAGACATGGATGATGATTTGGGCAAAGAAATTGGTTATGTGATTCTTCAAAATCTTCAACCAAATAGCAAGCTTCAGCAGCTTATCATTCGAAATTATCCTAGTGATCTCTTTCCTGTCTGGATGCAGGACTCTTACCTCTACAAGCTTGTCTCAGTTACACTTGATAACTGCCATGAGTGTAATGAGCTTCCATGCCTCGGTGACCTGCCATCCCTTAAAAATCTCTTCATACAGAGAATGAATCTTATACAAAGCTTTGGCATTAATAGAAATTCTTTGGCCACTGAAAGAATATACTCTCCGAGATTCCCATCACTGGAGGTATTAACGTTAAGTGAGATGTATAGCTTGCAGTTTTGGGTTGCCACAAGTGAAGGGGATTATCCACGGCTTTGCCGTCTTTCAATTAGTAGGTGCCCAAAACTCATAAGTTTGCCTCGCCTTAATTCCCTAGTGCATCTTTCATTTCACTTTGGTGGACCAGTACTGCCATCCTTCTCAGAACTTCCACTGCTTGAGTCGCTGAAGATTGAAGGTTTCCAAAAGATTAATTTTATTAGTTTCCCACGTCAAATGAAGACCTTGAGGAAGTTGGAAATTAGTGACTGCAAAGAACTGCTATCTGTGTATGCTTATTCATTATCTGTTTCAGAATTACAAGTGGTCAGGTGCCCAAAACTTGATTTTGTTGGAAATTTGATGGAGGACCGTCTTGAGCAGCTAGCGGTTGGTTCAAGGTATATGAATGTTCTTTTAAAACAATTTTCATATTAAAAAAATTCAACATGTCAATTAACAGTTAGTTGGACAGGCATTCATATTGTAATATTATTTTGAAGGTAACCTTAGTAGGTAGGATATTCCAAAAATCCTAGTTCCTTTCTTGATACCAATTAGTACATAAAAATGTAAGGTTCCTCTCCAATTCATAATGATCTGATAGTTATTACAAACATAGGACTGTTTCTAGTTACTCCCTATATGTCCCAAAGTATAATTTAGGCCGTGTTTGGCATGGCTCGCGTGCACTGCTCTGCAGCCGGAGCCTGAGCCGAGAGGCCAGAGCACCAAAAATGTGGCTCTACATTCCGTATGCCCAAAATGGCTCCAGCTCTAGCTCCTCTATTCGGCATCCAGAAGCGCTTCTCCTCTCACACATGTTCTCTATTTGTTCTAGGATCCATGTTGATTAAATATTCTCTTATGGATCGGATCAATTTCTAAGGAATTATGTAGATTAAAAACATAAAATTGATGTTAGTGCCTCATCATGAAAAATGGTTCATGATACATAATTATTTTGATTTCAAATAAAATATTTTTATAGTTTGCTAGTCGAAGTGTTAAACTACTTGAGACCATGTTAGATTCCTAAACAACTTAAATTTTGAGCCAGAGTACAAAAATTATCATATATGGAATATCAGATCCTTCTTGATACATTACTAGGGACTTCTAGTTTGTTGCATCTCATTTCATTTTAAGCATAGTGGTCCTCGGAACTTGTGGGTACCCTTTTAGGAATAAAAGGAAATACTGTTTTTTGAACAGAAATGGGGGTTTGGTAGAAAATATTGCAATTCATCTTACACCTGCCAACATACTTATTCACTAAGTGGTTAATTTTGTGTTTTGGATGTGATAAGTATGATTGGGTCCATCCTCTTCGGTATACAAATTTGAAATTTGTTATTCCATCTTGTTGATGAAATAATTTTAGATTTAAAACCACAGAACCATGTACTCCTCCAAGCATCCTTTGACAACATATCAAGTGAGGGGACAAGTATAGAGAGATTGATTTACCAAAAGTTAGCAAATTGGTGACTTGGGAACTGGGCTTAGTGTAGAGGATGTAGGTTCTGGTGTAGGCCAGGCTGAAGGCCCTCTAAGGCAGCCAGCCATGCCGAGGTGGAGTACCTAAAGAGGAGATTGTGGGGGCCCCTTTTATTAGTGAGAACTGAGAAGTTCCCTAACAGCAAGCAATCGATAACATAGCCAGTACTGCTACAATTAATTAATTTATTGTATTGTTCATATTTACCTCCCAATCCTTTATTTATGAGAATTTCAACTAATTTTCTCCTTACATATAGGAATAGTTCGACAAGGAGGAGGTCTATAGTGCTAAAAGTTATGACATACACAGATCTCCACGATGATGGTTGGAATTGGAAAATTTATCATGAGAAGAATATATCTGGATCTAAATTTTCAAGGTGAGGAGATATTGTGGCCTATGTCAGTTGTGTTTTACTAAATACTTGGTGCTTTGACCAAAATCCGGTCAAACTTTTTAAACTTTGATTGTCTATAGTTATAATCTCATATTTATTAGATATTATAATTATAATATTCGAATAATAAAAACCGGTCCACAAAGTTAAAACTCGAAGACCAAAAGAAGTCAATGTTGTCAAGTATTTTTGATTAGAGAGAGTAATTTCTTTTTTGAGAATTACACAGAACAAAGCATGACCCTCACAATGCACGTACACTCCTTATGAACGCAAGCACGCAAACTCTACCTAGACATGATATTTGTTGGCACCACGCTTTCTTTTTTGGAGTATTAATTCGTTTTTGTTTTCAGTAGGTTCTTTAGCATATGATTTAACACTATGCTATTACATTTGCTGAGCCACATCCCCACTTCCGAGAAAGAAGCATCTGACACTAGAACCAACCCTAAGCTAGGCATTAACATTTGTTTTTGTTCCAAAAAAAAAGCTAGGCATTAATGATAAAACATCATTTCTAGGGTGCCTAGCTGAATTGGTTAGGTGGCCTTGGCAGCACTTCTCAGGTCCTGAGTTCGACTCCCCATGGGAGCGAATTTTAGGCTGGGGTTAAAAAATCCCCTCGTCTGTCCCACGAGCAAAGCACAAGTCAGAAGGCCTGGCCCGGTTCTCACAGGGCATGCAACGGTGCCCTTGTGTCAGGGTGGGGCAGGGGTTCGGAGGTTTTTTGACCTGTGTGAGAAGGTCTTCTCTCTTATAGCAATGCCCAGGTCTTCTCTCTTATAGCAATGCAGGTCGTGTTTTTTTTATTCTAGTATTTAATTTACCATTTTTACCTTTTTAACATTTAAAGGGATTTAAACTTGAAATTCTGCATCACAAATAGATTATTTAAGGACTATATCATAAATTGAAAAAGATTTTCATGATGATTTCAAGCCCAAATCAAAATAGTCTGGTTTCATGATACTCTGTACAGTAGTATTACTTATTGTTTCGGTTTCATGAACAGAAAACAATAAGTGAGAACACCTCTATTGGTTACTATCCCATTTCCCTAACTATAGTTACCAATAAGCCATAATCTTAGCGCTTGGTTTCCCTCATAAAACTTTTGATGGGAAATAATGCTACCTTGAAAATTCAAAATGGTGTCATCCCGAGCACCAGAAAGTTAACTTCCTTAAACTACATTTGGAAGGAGTATTAGTTTGCACAAGTACTTTAATTATACTCATTGCGACATGACATCCAGCTACCAATTTACATTGGGAAGGTGATACAATTGCTATGCACTCCCTCTGTCCCAGAAAATTTGATGTTGTAGGATTGAAAGAATTAATGTTCTAAAAAACTTGATTAGCTCTTAGCAATAGATTTGGCCCATATGAGCTTGAGAGTTGAGATTGGGGTTTGCATGCCCTCATGCATTCTTTTAATAAGATGCTTATATTTCTTAATTAGCATGCATGGTTCACCTTCAATAAATAAGGGTACATGGGAAATTTCTGTTGAGCAGTAATCAGTCCTAAAAATCCTAAAACATCAATTTTTTGGGACGGAGGAGTAAGTGATACCATGCAAGTAAAATTCTTAAATATTGAGCCTTAGAGAAACCAGCTGGTTACCACCACCATTTTTAGCAATTTGAAACACCAGGATTATCTTGATTTCTTTGCGATGAATAAATTTGCTGACATTGCCAATATCTAATATAAAGTTGGAAAGTTTTCAGGTCTTACTGCAGATGCATTAACTCAGGATGCAGTGCAACGAAGATTTTGCAGCCCAACGACAATGATCCCAACACAGTGTCTGCCATGTACATCTCTGAGCATAACCACCTCTCCCAAGAAAACACACCTCAAACTGTCTAAGCAAGGTAGACCGAGATGTAAAAAAGAAAGGAGTCTGACCTATCTGGTCTTCAATGCACTTTGAATAGATAACTGATTGATTGCTTCCTGTGAGTGTTGAGTGTGTTAGATATGTGTCGAATATTATGTACGAGTTTGGTTGCGCTAGGACTATGTAACCCTGTCTCCTCATAAATATGAGAAGTGTGGACTGCATCGACGGGTTCGTGGGACGGTGGCGGCATGTTGTCGGGACCCTGGAGCTGCCGGTGTTGCTGGTATTGGAGAGGAGCACACGTAGTTATCCCTTGGGAATGTAGGCTTCAGCTGAACCTCGTTAACAATATTGTGCTTCTAGTCTCGTATGTGATCTTGCATGTTTGTCTCGATAGATTCAATCAATGCTTCCGCGTGTAGAGATTAGTGGGCAGCCTGTAGCTGTGGGGGATAATTTTTAATAATATTAGTATCAAGAGCTGGTTAGGTTGGTTCTGGAGGTTGTGTGGAAGATCACATAGAAGTTGGATGATTATCTACAAGTCGTGCAATATATGGATGGTGCAAAGCGCAGATACGACGCATGATGGGGCATGACTGTGACACCATGCGTATGGACACAGCGGGTCGATAGGAACGTCGGCGACGACTAGGGTTTAGCCGGATTAGTTATCGAGGACGTCTTGCAGAGGTTGCCGTCAAGATGTCACAATGCAATAACTGTTAACTGCAGGGCACGTATAACTGTTAACTGCACGACACGTGATTATAAGTTTATACGACTAGGTGCCATGATTCCAAGCGTGAAGATCAGCAGGCATGCGAAGGAGTTGCATGTCGGTGCAATACGAGCAGGGGGCTGATCGAGTGATCGGTCAATGATGCCATCTATATTTAATATCTATCTAATAATACTTATTATGTAACATAAATATTAATATATTCTTGTATATATTTGGTCAAATTAAATTTACAAAACATTCAACTCATCGACATTAATTTATTTTAGAACGGAGGCATATAGGGTAAGCCGGCAACAGGGTGCGTGACCTTTGGCTGAGGCACTAGTCGTGGAAGCCAGGCGCGGAGGCGCCAGATTCGTGTTCGGTTCGTGCGGTGGGTTTCTTTTTCCTTCATCACATGTTACGTGTGGGCTGGAGTGAGTCGTGTTCTGGATGTGTCAAAGCAAGTCTCACGTGTAAGCATGAAACCATACGTGAAGGCAAAGAAAAGAACAATATATAGATGGCATCATTGACCGTATAACCATGAAACCATACCTGAAGGGAAAGGAAAGAACAATATATAGATGGCATCATTGACCGAATCACTACGGAGACGCGCTCTTTGCCGAGTGCTCGGCGCTTTGCCGAGTGTCGAAACACGGGCACTCGGCAAAGAGGCAGTTTGCCGAGTGCCGCACTTGACAAAGCCGGCACTCGGCAAAGGCTGTCTTTGCCGAGTGCCAAACACTCGGCAAAGAGGGACACTCGACAAACGTCCTCTTTGCCGAGTGTCAGGCACTCGCCAAAGAATAACCCTCGGTAAAATACCTCAGGCGACGCCAGTGGCCCCTTCGTCATCCTTTGCCGAGTGCTGGCCGTTAGCACTCGGCAAACGTTGTGTCTTTGCTGAGTGCTGCAAGCCTGACACTCGGCAAAGAGGTTCCTTTGCCGAGTGATAATTCCGACACTCGGCAAAGTATTTTTATTTTTATTTTGTTTTGTTTTAAAATTTTTTCTGTGGCATTTATACAGTACCTTGAAGCACATGTTCCAATTTGGAACTTTTCTATGACTTTTTGGTATATTTTTTAAATTTTTTATGTTTACTTGAATTTTTCTCGAAAAAGTAAATTTGAACTGCAGGTGCATGAAATATTGGAATTTAGCGATTCAAAAACTGGTATTCATGTTTTTGAGTGTATTTTGAGGCATCGTGTGTACATGCGAGGGACATTCATGAAATTTGAACATCGATTTCACGAAACATGACCACCAACTTGTTAAAAAGTGTTTTTAATT